ACACACACACACACACACACACACACACACACACACACACACACACACGCACACACGCACACACACACACACGCACACACACACACGCACACGCACGCACACAAATAATTGCTCACCTCGGGCGTGATGGCGCGGATGGTGTCCGTGTTGAGGGCGAGCGTATTTCGCCATTGAATCGGAATAAACTGTACGCGTTTGGCCCCAATCCTGCGGAGGAGGTAAGAGCCAGTAGCGGGAAACGCGTGAGGGTGTGCACCCACGACGTGTCACCAACAACCACCCTCACCACCACCACCAACAGCAACCACAACCAACAACCACCACCAACTACCACCAACAACCATAACTGCCACCACCAACAAAAACAACAACAACAACCATTATCACCACCAACCACCCCGGACCTGTAAGAGCGCCCAAAGACGCCCTTGCGCGCAATCTTTCGCATCTGCCGATCAAAGGACAGCGCGTGCTTTTCAATGCTCTCGTCAAAATTCTGGCCTGCACACGTGCATGTATGTACACCAAGGTCACAGGTTTGTTGCGTGGGATGTGAGGTGTGTGGAGTGTGTCAAGTGGCATGTGTTGTTGGGTTAGCGCAAGACGTTCAAGGAGGAGTTGTAACACCGAATGCATGCAGTTGAACACGACACAAGGACTGCCACACAAGACAAGACGGCACACACGCCTGCAAAACAACTCCAACACGCGCGTACAACACACAGGATTCACATTCACACGCACCGATTCCGTGGACAACAAAGACGAGATGGGTCGTCTCGCCACAGTGGCAATTTGGCTCCACCACTTCATCCACGCTGCTCTCCTCGCCCTGGCGATGCTGTGGTGCGTGTGTGTGTGTGTGTGTGTGTGTGTGTGTGTGTGTGTGTGTGTGTGTGTGTGTGTGTGTGTGTGTGTGTGTGTTGTGTGTGTTGTGTGTGTGCGTGTGTGTGTGCGTGTGTTGTGTGTTTGCGTGTGTTGTGTGTGTGTGTGTGTGTGTGTGTTTGTGAGGCGTAGGATATAGAACGATTGAGATGGAGATGCAACAACACAAGCCCTGGAGCAGACCTGTCAACGCAGCAGATCTCACGCGCGAGCAAAGGCACCGTGCCCACCGTGTCATAACCGTGGAAGAGCTGCTGTGATTTAAGGAAGGAAACGAAGCTCGGCGTGGAGAAGATGGTGCCATCGCTATGCCTGCAGGCAGGAAGACAACACATCAACGATTTGTGGCATCCAGGATCATGCAAACATGCGAAAGCGGGCTGTAGCGACAGCAGGTGCTGGGCGACACACACGTACCACAGTGCACGTCTATGCACACACACACACCCGAACCACAGTGTCCCGTACAGTCACTTCCAACCACCGCTGCAGTGCATCTCACCACGTGTACGCTGTTGATTCCTGTGTGACGCGATAAATCTCCACGCGCTGATGCGGCGATGAGAAATGCAGCGACAGAGCTTATGTGGGTTAGAGAGCGAGAGGGAGGGAGCGTATGGTGTGTGTGTGTGTGTGTGTGTGTGTGTGTGTGCGTGTGTGTGTGTGTCTGTGGGTGTCTGCTTGTGTGTGTGTGTGTGTGTGTGTGTGTGTGTGTGTGTGTGTCTGTGTGTCTGTGTGTGTGTGTGTGTGTGTCTGTGTCGATGTCTGTGTCTGTGTCTATGTCTGTGTGTGTCTGTGTCTGTGTGTCTGTGTGTACAAGCGAGCAGCTTGAACGTTGTGCATGCCGCACCTTGGCTGCCGAACGAAGAGAGAGGGCACCGAAAAACGAGGACCAGTGTCAGGAAGCGAAACACGGGCACCAAACGCACGGTGAGTTGGCCGGTCCACACACATGGTGACACTTGTGCTCACTCGTGTGCACACGTACGCGCACACCCGCAAGCACATATTCACACATGCACATGCACATATTCACACATGCACACAAACGTACACACACACAAGCACACGCGCACACATGCAAACCTGCGTGCTCGACATTCGGCCTTGGCAGATCAAAGATAGAGGCGATGACGACGTGAACCATGTGTGAGGGTTGATGTGCGTGCAAAAAGCGCTACAGAGACGACACATACACACACAAACACAGTCGCACACACATGCACAGTCGCACACACATGCACACAAACAACACACACACAACAAACATACACACATGCAGACAATCGCTCACATACTTTGCGGACTGCATGCGACGCCGGGCAATGTGGTGGTGCAGTTCAAGGTAGCGTGCAAGCTTGTCGCCGATGGGCAACATGTGCCGCCCGGACTGCTTGAACCACGTTGCTCGAAACACTTGCAGCGGCCGCCCCTTCCACAGATATGGGCTGTGCAACCACAACGCGCAGACGAGATGAATAGGCGTGAAGAGGGAAGAACAATTGACCAGAAGACAATGTGTTGAATGCCTCCATAGACGCGCAACAACAACCTCCTACGCACGAACACACACACACACAGCAGACAAGGCAGTAGGCACGCACGCATGCACACACACGCATGCACACACACGCATGCACACACACACGCACACACACACACACACACGAACGCACGCACACAGCAAACCAATCCTTAAACCCGTATTCTTACACGGCCTTGAGTTGTAGAACGTCAACGCGGTAAGCACCACCAAAGATGAACACGTAGCGCGGGGACTTGTGCTCGCCCTCGGGCTCCTCTGTTTCGTCCGGCGCTTGTTCCACATGCTCTCCTTGCTCGTCTGTTGTGTCCTCTTCACCGGCACGGCCAGCAACTGGTGCAGGAACCGTGCTGGTGGCGTTGCGCATGCGCTCCGCCATGAGCATGGTCGCGTCCAGGTCACGGTCTCGCTTCATCTCCTCTGCGCCCTTGTCCACAGAAACGGCGTCAGCAGTGTCCGCCGCAGCGTCTCCCAGGTCACTGTCGCCGCCTCCGTCACTGCCACTCCCATCATAGACATGGCCCGAGTCCTCCGCTGCGGTGCCGGCTGTGTACTTGCGAGCGACGTGCGTGAGGCGGTGCTTCATTTGCTGCCAGGCCTTCTCCAGAGCTTGGCTGTCATGCTGGCACAGCGGCCGCGCATTGTCAATCTGGTCCTTCTCGCTCAACAAGTCCTTCCTCTGGCCCTTGGCCTTCTTCTTCTTGCTCTTGCTCACAGAAGCATCCTCGCCCTTCTTCGTCTTCTTTGTCGTCGTTGTTGTCGTCTGCGTGTCTTGCTGCTTGTCGCTGCTCCCCGCATCAAGGTGCCATGCCTTGCTGCCTGCCTCCGGCAGCACAAAGAACCAGCGAGCTGCCATCGTCGCGCTTGTGGTGTGTGTCGTGTGTCTGTGGGTGGTGTGGGTGAGGTGTCAGGTGTGCGGTGTTGCTTCGGGTCGTGAGTGAGTCACCTGCGAGTGCGAGCCCAAAAAAACAAAGCTGGGGCCTCGCCGGGATTTGAACCCGGGACCTCTCGCACCCAAAGCGAGAATCATACCCCTAGACCACGAGGCCAACAGATGCTGCTAGCAGTGTGAAAATTATTTTCATGAACGTAATCCACCTCGCTGCGTCGACGATTGAGAACGTTGTTGAGGGTTTTTCCGCAGGCAAAGTAAGGCAGCAAGCACTCCAACAACTCCTCAACACTTGTCTCTTCTCTCCTTCCTCTTCCTCTCACTACTTCACTCACTACCAGAGAGACTCAGCGACTATACTCAAGTCCTCACCACTCAAACCCCCCGCTGCCCTCTTCCCTTTGAGCCTTCTCTTGCCGCTGCCCAGCCCTCCTTGGTTGTGCAGGCTTCTCCTGCCATGGCTGTGGCAGCCGTGGTGAAGTTACTGGTGGTGGTGAGGGTCGTGGTGATGATGGCTGCCATGACAATGACCGTGCACAGCATGAAACCAGCAGCAGCGACAAGTCCTGTGCCACCGCTGACATCACAAGACTATCAGGTACGTCTGCCACTGCCCGTTTCAGCGTGCTCGAGTGCCCGCGTGCTGGCCTGCATGTGTTATGAGAAGCTGAGAAGTGCGGGTACTCTCGTTCTTGCCCTTGGTGCCCTCTGTTCTTGTTGTTCTTGTTGTTCTTGTTGTTCTTGCTGTTCTTGTTGTTCTTGCTGTTCTTGCTGTTCTTGCTGTTCTTGCTGTTCTTGCTGTTCTTGTTGTTCTTGTTGTTCTTGTTGTTCTTGTTGTTCTTGTTGTGTTGTGTTGGGTGACTGCTTTGTTTGGGTTTCCTCCAGCTCGAGTATACGTACACATACAAATATACATACTGTGCTGTGTTGCCGTCCCTTCTCACCAACATGCACGCACGCACCCATCGTTTCTTGCCTCTTGTCACGTGCACCCAAACCCCCTCTGTAGCTGTGTTCGGATGTGCACGGGACACTAGACAGCATGGCGCGGGTGCTGAACGTACTGAAGGCTCATGGCAAGGACTCGCCGCTCTTCAAGCGCATACACAATGTAGGCCGTAGCAATACGGGAACACCTCAAAATGAAACGGCACACGAGGAGCCAGGCGCGTTGCCCTTCCCATTTTTGGACCTGTCACCGATTCATCGCATGATGACTGCGTTTGGGTGTGAGGACGATGATCACGACAGGAAGGACAAGGAGCGCGCTCACGACACAACTCACGACCTAACTCACGAGCATGTAACGCACCGTTCCAACGCACCGCCCACTCCATCCTCGCTGTCGTCTTCCACACACGCAACGGCCACGCAACCCTCCTTGCAACACGCACGGCAGCACCACAGGCGCGTGCGGCGGAAGGTGTCTGCTCCAGTTGTGCAGGCTGGACAGTGCACGCTGACAAGTGTGGTCAACGGAACATGTCCTGGTGCAGCCACCAACGGACAGCTTACCATCACCTTGAGTGTCGACGATCATGTGGATGACGGCACTGATGCAAGCGGGCTACAAGCTATTTCGGGCTCCGTGATCCAGTTGAATGTGAACGGGCACCTTGCCGAAGCGACTTTGCAATGGATGTTCAACCGTGGCAATTGGACCGCGGACAGCAACAAGGTCCTCTTGGATGGCGTACAGTTTGCCACGTTTCGATTGAGCGTGCTCAACCCAATGACCGGCATCAACACCATCTGGATACGCAACAGCGCGCTGCTGCGCGAGGTGGACACAAGCGGCTTCCAAAACGCACGTGGTGTTTCGCAATTTCACGTCACCGGCTGCTCGCTGGCGACCATCCCGGATCTTTCAGGCTTGACTTCGCTGAGAGTGCTAAACTTGCGCCAAAACCGTATTCGTCGCATTGCCAAGGACAATTTCAATGGGATGACCATGCTGCAACAACTGGGCTTAAGTCACAACCTCGTTTCTGAGCTTGAGCCAGGAGGACTCGATAACCTTGCCCAGTTGCAGTGGCTGATCCTGTTCTCAAACGACATCAGCGCCATTCCTTCTGGCCTGTTCCATCCACTCGCCAACCTGACGCGCTTGGAGATGCACCAGAACCCAATCGCAAAGCTTGATGCGGACACCTTCATTTCACTGAGCAGGCTGGATCACCTCACCCTCGAGAGCATGCTCCTCACCAGCTTGCCACCAACGCTGTTTCGAAACACCACCCGTCTCACGGTGCTTGGACTGGCAAACAACTTCATCACGTCCCTCCCCGAGAACATTTTTGCCAGTCTCTCATCCTTGCAGCATCTCCAGATCTTTGACAATGCGTTGACGTCACTGTCTCCAGGCGTGTTCAAAGGCCTGTCAGCACTGAGGCAGCTGAACATCGGGGCCAATGACCTGACAGCCTTGCCTGCGGACCTCCTTCGGTTCAACCGACGTCTCACCCAGTTCTCCTGCACTGACACCAAAATCATCTCCCTTCCACGCACCCTCTTTACACGAAACTTGGCACTGTTGCAAGTGTCCTTTGCCAACAATCGCCTTCGCTCGATCGATAACGTCCTACAAGCATCACGGCCGGCTTTCCTGAGCTTCCTGAACCTTGACGGCAACGACTTGACTCAACTGCACCTCCCCAGAACATTCCATCGCCTTCGCCGACTCGACCTGAGCCACAACCCCTTGCGGGAGCTGCCAGATGCAGCCCTCACACCTGCTCTGCGCACCCTCCGTCTGCAAGACCACGTAATCGAACACATAGACCTGGCGCCACTCCTTCGTCTGGCCAATCTCAACGTCCTTGAACTTGACGCTTCCCGGCAAGCAGAATCCAGAGCAGTGGTGTCAGACATCACCAACATCACCAGCATCTCACGCCTATCAACGCTCAGTTTGGAGAATGTGGACATCAGCGCCGTGGTTCCATCAATTGACGACCTTCCACCGTTGAGTCTCGACACGCTTCACCTGGGCTGGCCAGGCGCCAGCAGCAACACGGTGCCGATGAGCGCATTGTGTAAACTGCTCGCAACTGACGTGCGTGAGCTTCGTATCGCCAACACGGACTACAGAGCCATCCAAGTATGTCCTGACAAGACATTCGGCTCACTGCTCCTAAGCGACAACAAGCACCTGCGATCCATCACCGTCCACAATCCACTGCGTGAGTTGAACGTCTCCGGGTGCACCCAACTCACGTCCATTAACGCGCCACCAATCGACATCCTTGACATCAGCAACACCAACGTCCCACCATCGGGGGCGCTGTGCACGCGATGGGGCACACGCATTCTCTTCGCCCGCAACTTGGTCGGGGCCATTGAAGTGCGCCAGGCAGCTGCAACGCTACGCAACTGCCTCGAGCGAGCAGACGTGCTGGACTTTGCGGGGAACGCGTGGCTGAGCCACCTGGCAGAGGTCAATCGCATCACTGCCAGAACAATTGTCTTGTCGGATGACGCCTTCGTGACTGCTGACACCACTGCCATTTCAAACCGCCCCATTCCTCCCATCCTTCAGCTGACTGATGCGCCCATTGAATGTGCGCTTCAGCTGTCAAACATGGACGTGCGCCCGCTGGGCAGCTCAAACCTGATCGCGCCCCAGGTTGTGTTCTCCTTCCACTGCACATGCGCTCGTGGTTTCAAGCTGGCGTCAGGTGGGCGGTGTGTGGTGGACACCCCAGATATTGCCGGCATTGCTGCTGGCTCGGTCATTGGCGGCCTGTTCTTTGGCCTGTTTGTGGCGTGGTTGTCACGCCGCTACCGTGGCATGACGAAACGCATCGGCCTGCAGGAGCAGCTGTTGGTGGAGATGGATGAAGAAGTAATGGCGCTAAAGAAGGCGTGGGAGATTGAGTACGATGAGCTGAGGATGATTAAGCGTGTGGCTGCGGGTGCGTTTGGCGTGGTGTTCAAGGCAGAGTGGGACACAGTGATGGTGGCAGTCAAAGTGCTGCAACAAGCCGTCATGGCGTTTGACGAGAGCACGGTGCTTGAGTTTGAGAAGGAGGTTGAGTTCTTGCAGCGTACACGGCATCCACACGTGGTGCGGTTCTTTGGGGCGGGCACCGATCCCAATGGCAGCCCGTTCCTGGTGCTGGAATTTGTGACGATGGGGTCCCTCAAGGACCTGCTGGGGAAAGATATGGAGGGGGTGTTGATGGAGGTGAGGAATAAGAAGATCGAGGAAAGCAGCAGTGGTGGTGTTAGCGATGATGTGAACAGTGTGTGGGACTTGAAGCTGCGCTTGCTGCGTGATGTTGCGAGTGGCATGGCTTTTATCCACAGTCTGGACCAGATGCACCGGTGCGTTTGTGTGTGTGTGTGTGTGTGTGTGTGTGTGTGTGTGTGTGTGTGTTTGTGACTGTGCTTGTGTGTGTGTGTGTGCAAGTGCGTGTGAGTGTGTGTGTGCAAGTGCGCGTGAGTGTGTGTGTGTGGGTGCTTGTGTGCAGGTACGTGCTTCTTATTCACTGCTCACCGCACCATCCTACCCTCATCCCCAACTACACCAACACCACCCAAACAGAGACCTGAAGAGCGGAAACGTGCTGGTGTCATCGTCGCTTCGCGCCAAGATTACGGATTTCGGGTCCATTCGCCAGTGCTTTACACGTGGTGGAGGTGGCAGAGCCCACGGCAGCAGCCATACCCGCCTGTCATCCACCCATGATGTTGATGATCCCCAATACAGCCAGCAGGCTGGACTGCAGACAATGACGAGCATGACGCTAACGGCTGGTGTGGGGACGCCGCTGTACATGGCACCAGAGGCATTGACGGGTGACAAGTACAGCTTTGAAGCCGACATCTTCAGCTTTGGCGTGCTCATGTGGGAGGTGGCGACACAGCGTGTGCCAGACCTCATTGAGCAGGAGAAGGGGGGCGGGTATCGTGGGCCGATCCTCGCCACCATCAGCAATCTTTTGGAGGATGGGAAGCGGTTGCGATTTGATGATCGCGAAGAAGATGGTGAGCTGCGAACCGTGTGTGATGTGTGTGTGTGTGTGTGTGTGTGTGCTTTGATTGTTTACTTGCGTGTCCTTCTCTCCTCACTCACACACACATACACACAATCACAATCATTCATATAATCTCACTCACTCACTCTCTCGCACCCACTTTCCAATAGCCATCCCCGAGTGGTTCCAGTCACTGACGTTCAAGTGTATGGCGCAGAGCCCTCGTGAGCGACCATCGTTCGGAGAACTCAAAGACCACCATCTTGCTTAGTTGCGCATGTGTGTGTGTACATGTGCATGTGTGTGTATGTGTGTGTATGTCCTGTGATGCACAGTCCTTCCTTCGATCTTGCTCCCTGTTATTCTGCTCTATGCTGGTGTCAACACCTACGTGGTATGGTCTATTCTTCTGACCTTTGTTGCCAATCACCAGCAATATCCGTTACCTACACTAGTACACAAACATTGACCCAACATCAACCACCCATGGTAACAGCACTGGCACACGCGCGCCTTTGTGTGCGTGTGTTGTTGCTGTTGCTGTTGTACGAGTGCGTGTGTGTGCGTGTGTGTGCGTGTGTGTGCGTGCGCGTGTGTATGCGTGGTCATCCCGACCTCAGCATGCCACCCGAATGGCTTATGCCCAAACCTGAAGCTCTGCGGTTATTGTGGTGCCACATCCGGCCACACTCGAATATGAGCAGCTTCGCAGTTTCAACGCTTCAACTTCCCATTTGTGGCCGTTGGGGTAGGCGGAACTCTTTACGAAGGACCAAACTGCCAACAATGTCGAGGCCACTAACACAAGGGAAAGAGGGATTGGGCAGTGCGTAGCGTGGAGTCTCTGATCCTACATGATGTGACACACACCCTCACACAAACCAGTCACACGAGAAATCTCTCGCCTCTACGTATATCACGAAGCTCAGACGTTGTGTTCCGTTCCTCTAGTCCTCTGTTCTCAACTTTGAGCTTCTGACGTCACAAATCGGTTGGGTGGTTGAGAGACTTCGGAAGGAGCGCCTGCTTTCAAAAAGATTGTTGGGATAAGAGCGATTGTCCTACATCCTTATGTCTGCAATCATCAAGAAGAATTGGAAGTATTCGCCTTTTTTTTTTTGGTTCATCTCACGCTTGTGCGTGTCCACAGCCATGGTTCAATGGTTGTTGTTTGCTTTCTTGTGTTCTTGTGTGATGTAACGTGAGCCCTCATCATCCTTGCAGGATGCAGGCGTTTAGCAGAGCACATTGTTTGCCTGCAAGCAACAGGCACGCAGCAAGGTCTCAAGTAGAAGTATACACATGGACGTTGTTTTGTTGGTTTGCATACTGCTCAGATGGGCTTGCCTATTCTCGCTTCTCTTCGTGCTCAACTCAACTAACACTATAAACGATGATTCAGAGCAGCAGAGCACTTTCGAGCGTTATAGGTTGTGCCAACTCACTGCACACTCTCCTGCCGCCTTTGCTTTACATGAAAAGGTCTTTCGCACTTCATCGATGCCCCTAGAGCAAGCACAGTGGCCTCCATGTGTGCCAAGAAGGAATGCGGACACGATGTGCCATGACGTCATTTCCTTGATTGGGCGTGCTGGCAGCCGAGGGAAACGGGGCATTTATTAGCGCTTGTTCAATGATGTTTGAATGTGAAACGCATACATGTTACGGTGTATGCTTCGGTAATTTCCTCGTTTTTTTTTT